AATTTAGTTTTTGTGTATAAAAACGTATTTAGGTCGATGACACGATAACTGTATGTATAAGTATAAAAGGTCTGTAATTGTTCTACATTCTTAATATATTTTTAAATTTATGACGTTGATGCATACAAAAAAAAAAGTATGCCCGTATGAGAAATTAAAAGTATCGTACTATCATTATATTGGAACAAGTACGAGTATTTTAAGTAGATTTAAAACAATTGTATTTAAAACATAGTCTTACGTTATATCATAATGCACTTCGTTCTTTATATAAAAAGTTTACTCTTCTATATATATTAAATTTATATAAAAAGTTTACTAGTCTATATATATATATATATATATATATATATATATATATATATATATATATATATATTATATATATATACTCTGTATATATATATTTATCAAAATGGCAATCCACTACAAGTCATTTCATAATATAACTTTTTCCTTGAATGAGTGTAGTGAAATGATGTATTATTACTATTAATTACATGTATACATTAAGATAAATAGTTTTAAAAGTTTTAAAATCGAGTATATATTTAATAAATAGCAAGAATAAAGAATTTCATACAAACATTTATCTAAAATCGACGACTTATCTATATAGTTGTCTCCATTATTATTTAGGGTTATTATTTTAAAGCATATTCAGCTCAGCTCTATAAAATTTACAAATTATGACGTACTATTGAACTTTTTAAACTCCATTAGGGAGATGGAGAAAATCTGAAACAGGGGTGTTTTGCGAAAATCCGAAAACCATGTAGTGAGGAAGTGGCTTCCTATCACTTAAATAAAAAGAGGGAGATAAAACAAGCCACTAACTAGGTACTTAGCGGACAAATGTCCCTAGAGACATGAAGGAGTTGGGTCTGTCTAGAGACAATGCTTACCACCGAAGTTTATGAACTAGCGTTATGGCCTTTATATTTAGAAGACGATAAGGAAGTTTTATCTTTATATAATTTGGTTTTCACAACTAGTAAACCAATATATCATGAACATAAACATGTTCAATTATTCATCTTGTTATACAATAAAAGCAGTAGTTATATCAAGCCACACTATATCCGTTGCGCATTTCATTAAGAACTATACCGACAAATAACTCGTATTATGTGAGTTGCATAGTAACAATTTTATATATAATACGAATTTGGTTTACTCGTAACAACTTCATTGCTTAAGGTTTTGTTCAGCTTGTGTACTTACAAATTTCACAAAGTACTAATAAGGCCGCGTATTGGAAGTTTTCAGAGCAAGACAAATATTCATTTACAATTACAATTACAAATGAGGGATATACATATACGTACATACACATACATTTGTATTACAGGGAAGCCGCTACACTTTTATTTATCATATTTCAATTGTTGGACTTATTAATCAAAACTTTTATATATCGACAAAACAATTGTACCTACCACAGTTTTTCAAAACCCATACGAAGATGACGAAGTGTTTGCTAAGAGGAAACCTTTTAGTAAGTACATAAAATAAAGCTCTTTTAGCGTAGAACTCTAAGCACATCGTAATCTGCATTACAGGTGTAGGCGTATTTGTGATTTCACTGTGATGAATGATTAATTTACAAAGCACCTATTACATATTATAATTGTAAGTATTTCTACAACTTTCCAGATTTCTGAATTCAATATAAAGATTCTTAAGAACATCAAAAAAATAACCAGAGTAGTCACAATTAGAGAGAGTTTAGATTATGAGTAATGCATATTATCCGATTTTGTGGAAAGAAAATTTACATGGAGCAGTTTAAATGTCAATGGGATTTGCGTTCCAAGGCTTAATAGCCGTCGGTGGAAGAATCTGAGATAAAGCCAGAGAGATGGGTTGGAATACAAATCAGGAAATTCCTAGTTGGGCGAAGGCATCGACTGTTGTTGTTCCTATGAAAATAAAATTTGGGTAATGAGATCGTCACGAGAATTTGGAACAATAAAAACAGAATAAAACTAACATAGGTAAGATAGGTGTCATTGACTGCTTTTTAGGATTGGAATACATTTATGTAAAGACTGAAAATAAAGAAAATGAAAACTACCTTTGTATTAGAATTCTTCATTACTTGTACCTACCGATAAAATCTATATTGGACTGACCTATATTATGGCGTATTAGATTCAAGAAATTAAAATTCGGTAATTTTTTAAATATGATAATAGAAAATAATCTGTTAAAATCTGTAGACAGCTTACAAATATATTTAATTATTATGCATGGTTATAGTATAAAATCAGAATTACTTCCAAACAATCTTGAAAATACCGAAATATTTTTAAATAGGTTATTTTAAAAATTCGATATTTTCAAGGTTGTCTGGAAGAAATTGTTTACAATTTGTCGTTGTGGCAGGTGTAGGCTGCTCGATGTCTTATCTACATAATAACTTTTAATTTACTTTTCTGTGTATTTACTGAATAAATTAAAGTAAACAAAAGAAACTAAAGAGGCTGATATTTATCTGTAGAAATTTGCGTAATTGGTAAACGAAAATGCTATAAATGTAATACTAGGAAAGTCGGAGAAAATTCAAATAGATTTATTTGTCGTTTAGAGATGCTAAGCCTGCTACCAGAATAGCGATCTAGTATTATTAGATATACCTACTGAATATACATCTGTATAAATACAAAGCAATAGAAATGTAATATAAATATAACATTTATTTCCACAAATCTTATGCTCTGCATATTTGTGCATTCTTCTTATCATCACACTTTAATTTTGTACTCAATATAATATAAATAATCTTTAAACAATAAAACTTAATATAAAGCAGCTTCCAATAGTCTTATTTTTTGTTTTTCTACCACCACATTGCAAATCACATTTACCGAAGAAGAATGGGCAAGAAACTTAACTAGTGCTTTTTTTTATTTTATTATTAGTATGAACAAACAATAACAAAAAACAAGATATTTAAATACAATTACAATTATTTAACAAAATAAACCCAACTTACTAAAATCAATCTATGATTATGAACATATTCAGGAATAACTTTCATCAAAGAAACGTAAATTCTAGTAGATCCTTGCAACAAAAATGTAGTTATATAGGTAAGCTATAAAAACATCAGCACATTATTTATTACATCATGAATTCTTATAGGAACGTGCACATAAGAATTTATGATATAATGAGGGCATGGCATAATGCACAGGAAATAGGTTCAGTAAAGACGCAGGGCAGACGAGGGAGAATCTCTCTGTATTTTTTTGCTCCAAAATACAACATATCTGTGGTATATACAGATAACATTGCTAACAAAGAATTTTAAAAAAGAACTCCAAATTAGTACTCATTTACAGAGCCTAAATCTCAAAGCGCATATAAAAATATAGTATCAAGTTGTGTATAAGTACATTATATGTAGAATATAGTCGATATTATGTAATCTTCTCTAATCTGTGGTCGATACTAATGAGTGAATATATAAATACTTCCTTGCATAATAGAAAGCTATATATTTTTAATGTACATACTTGCTCGATACATAAATCTAATAAAAATTTGTTATTTTGTACGTTTTCTTAAAGTAATATATTATTTTTCAAATGTGTGTGTAATGTCAAATATAAATACTAAAAGGAATGTAATATTTGTAAGTACTTGACAACAAATTGCAATATCGTTTAGTTTTTGAACATTTCTGTACTGAATGTTTGACCTAATCGAACTTTGTACCGTTAAGTCAAGTAGACTAGTCGACTCTTCTTGACAACAAATGACGTAAAAAGTAATAGCAGGAGGTCTGGCTTATGAAATGTATCTATTATTTAATTATATTAATGTTTATATGTTACATACTATGTTAGGCTAAATACTAATGCTGGGCTAAATGTTAGGCTAAATCACAGAATTAATGAAAGTAATAAAAAACCAAATTAAAGTAAATATCATTTAGCACGATAAAGCCCGGATTTAACCACCAAACCAATGTGAAATTTATAAATATACATATCATTTACCATATAATCATTGTCATTATCTAATATAGGAGGGTATTATATGTACTTGTTATGTTGTATCTTAGACTATGAAAATTCACCTTTTTTGATATGCGATTTTAATACCAAACCAATTTGCTGGCATAACTACATATTTATAAACGTCAATAATCACTGGGTTTTTGTTAACATTTTTTTTATGGAATTACAAGTGTATGTTTAGTTATTATTAATTTAATAATATTTATTTTTAATAAATATATTAATTAATTTAAACCGCGAAGATAGCAAACAGCTTGATGGAAAGACTCTAGTCCCGAAGAAATATAGAAAATGATTGGTATAGAATACCACCTGTTTTGATACATTGGCACGAAGTTCCAGCCATCCAGATATATTCAGCATTGTCCTGTCGTCCTGGTATGGTAGAAATGCAGGCGGTAATTTTAAAGAAGAGCAAGTTCTGGCATCTGATGGAGTCGTATTGGTTTTACCATTTACTGTGGAGACGTTGGGCATACAGAGCCCAGAAGCCAAAAGTTTTTTAACGGATATTGCAGCACGGCTCAGCGAGGTTATGGCGATTCAAATAAGAGAATGCTGCTAGTATCTTGGGAAACACTGGCTCGATGTGCCGCATTGGTTAACAATGAGTGTTTATCTTAATGTAAATTCTTTTTGCAATAAATGAAAAAAAATTCTAAGGGTAAATAATACTATTTTTGAACATGGAAATTATTATTAAATTTCGATGGAATTTATTAAAATACATTTTATGGCTAGTTTAATAATGTACTACTATATGTTAATAAAGACTGTTTTATTACTATAAGTATATTACTGTTCTCAAAGAAATTATTTAAATTAATAAGATGTAACAATATACTTATAGTAATACTATATAATACATATATATAGTCATTATATTATGAATGAATAAAGCTTACTATGCATATGTACCTACATATGCATAAGTACCTACTTATCAACTAAATATATTTGAAAGAACCTTCAATTAGCATATTGATTACAACTACAAATTGGAAATTAAGTCCAAAAACACTCTGAGGTAAGCATTAAATTAAGCTACTCATACTTAATCTTGTATTTAATTAATTAATATCGTATATCGAGAGTTACATTATTAAAGCAACGTTGTAGATTTATGTCGGTTGAAATTATGATACAAATAAATTAGTCTAGTGTTGGGTTATTTGTTTAATTAATGTTTGTACTCAGTTAATTCTGGATGTGGCTCTTCGGTTTCTTCAAAGGTACCATCACCACATCGATTAGCCCTGTTTGATACCATCGAAGGGGAGGCTGCCTTAACTGTAACAAGACATAGGTTTTAGTTAATTTTTAGTTAATTGGTATGGCTATCAGTCCGTTTAATGGAAAGTACGATCGTCGCTGATATACATGAATATCACCATAAACAAATCAACTAATTTTATTGTCTACTAGCTACCCACCTCGGCTTCGCACGGGTATACATGTATTATACATATTATACATTGCTCTTGAATCACTCTACCTATTAAAAACCTCATCAAATTCCGTTGCGTAGTTTTAAAGATTTAAGTATACATAGGGACAGACAGCGACAGCGACTTTGTTTTATACTATATAATATAAAGAAATAATAATGATGAAACAAGTTTTTACATAGACCTTTAACGGCTCTATACTTAGGTATATCTTTTTTATTGGGACGGTTTGGACTATTGTCAAGTGCTAAGACCTGTAATATTGCGATCTGTATAGATTTATTGTGCTCGCTTATTCATAATTCGTTACCTAGACTCGTGAGGGACCGGCATTGAAAGATATTCATAGGAGCAATGATTTTTATATCCTCAGGATAGAGTGTGTACTTTCCAAAAGAGATATTTCGTTTATGCGTGAGTGGGTTAGGTACAGCGTAGGGTAGTGGCGTTTTCTATTCTGCTTGCAAAATCTGCAGATTGATGTTAAGCTAAGGCCTAATTTTGCCATGTTTATTCAGTTTGTGTTGTCCAGTGCGGGCCCTAGTCATGAAATATGAATTTTGTTTTTACCAATGGACAAGTCAACTGTTTTTAATGACTATACAGTTTTTATATAGGTCTTTAACAGCTATATACTTGGAGATATACATTATTATACATGTTAATATAATTGAAAAGCACTACAGACATCTTGAAATGTTATTGCAATATTTGTGATAACCCTTATCCTGAGAAAGTTATGCCTCCGCCAGTAATAATTTCACTGTTATATGTTATTCTTCAAACACAAAATAGAAGTAAGATATGTATATGAATAATTTACTTGAATATGTACTTCAAAACGTAAAAGTAAATGAAAATAGTATTGAGTACTTGTATGAATATACAGAACTAAAATTTGCATCCTGAACAAACTAAAATTCAGAGCGTTATGAAGAAGCTTTTGTTTAAAATCTAGTTACGTTCGAGAATTTGAAATGAGGACATGCGCAGAACAACCGTTCTTGTATAAAACCTCCCAAATACCCCATATTACCTATTTAAACTGAGTGTGACACTTACACTGAGAGTGTTACATATTTTTTTTTTCAAATTAAGAAATTAGGGACAGTATTTAACACTTTACTAAAATATTTTTTTAGACGACTGGTGTGTTATGTATATGGAGGTTAATTAACACAAACACTCAATAGACGCTGTAAAGTAGAAACGAAACATTTACAGTGATTTATTTGAGCTTATACCTACTATATATATATATACATATATAAAGGGAAAGTGTGAATTTTGTGGGTTTATGCGAATGTAAGTAAATATATCCTGAATATATAACCGGGTGAAGTTGGGTTTAAGCCCTATTTTTTATATAAAATACCGTAAATGAATAATGGATAAAGTCGTGATAAATAATCGGTTCTTATTGAGACTTAATATTTCATCAATTCATAATTTGTATACGAATTTATTATGTTATAAAGTATTCGATTCAATCACTCCATTTATATAATTGAATGAAACTCAATTAGTGTTATTACTTTAGTAACGATATCTACTGTTTATATTATGATTACATAACATAATTGTGTTCAGTTATAATTGTGACTTCCTACCAGAAATTTCTCTTTGAAACAAAGTGTTTTATTTATATTGAGATAACGTAGTATTAACAGTCTCTGTTTCTAAGGGAGGAGGCAAATAAATATCTATATGATTGTTTTGCTACGGAATATATACTGATGACAGGTAATTCAATAAAGATAAAAAAGTACGTTTCAGTAATGAATTGTTATGTAAATAGCACCAGTACTCATGTCAATAAAGCAATTTGTAATGCTTAGTTGGTTTTGAGACAAAATTATGTGTCTAAATAATATATGTATGTCAGATGCTATATTATATAGAGATATTACTAGTTGTGTCCGCGGTTTCACCACCGCGTGAAGTTTATAATCTATATGTTATTCGAATGTTTACTGTTTTTGCTTGAAAGAAAATATCCATCATATTAATTATATTAATAATAATTATATACATTTATAGTTTTTAATATACATAATTATAATATATACTATTAAATTCTAAATTTAAATGTTTATATTATAAATCAACAGCCTGGGTGGTCTAGTGGTTTAGCATAGCGCTTTACTATCTGATGGTCGCGGGTTAGCTTGGGACTAGATGGCGTTGTGTGAATTGTCCTGAGATATTATATATTATATTATATTTATAAATATTTAAAACTTTTTTGTTCTATATTAAAAAAAAACTCAAAGTAGAAACATCCAAAATCAAATATTGATTACAATATTATTATCATCCTGTTTATTTATATTTCAATGCTATAAAAAGTAATATATTCGAGGTTCGCTTTTTTGACTAGAATTTATTCGATTCAGTAAACCCACTGTATTTTACATATTACTCCTACGTTTGTCCCAGGGGCCCGACAATGAATGTTTTATTTATTAATCTTGTGTAATAAACGCATTGAATAAATTTTGAAAACTTACGGTCATAGGCCCAGCCAATTTTAGAGAAAATATCTATAAATCTAGTAGACACATTGAATCTGCCAAGCTCTGAAGTGCGATAGTCCCATGGGAATACGTGATGGTAATTGTGCCAACCTTCGCCCAGTGCCGCTAGGCTCACCATTTGATTTTCAACGGACAGTATAAACCTGTAAATAAGTAGGCTATATTAGTAGACACCTAAATTAATAAATATTAGATACCTAATAGCTGTTTCTGTGGTTTCAGCTGCGTGAAATTTATAGCCTACTAACTGGCCCGCGCAATTTTATCATTTATTTGATATTTCTTTTGTGTTATATCTAAACTATATTGCAGTAAAGTTTCGTCAAAATCCGTTTAGTAGTTTTTGCGTGAAAATGTAACAAACATTTATCCATACTTACGAACTTTCGCGCATATAATATTAGTAAGATGTATTGTGTTATTCTATTGTGAAAGCTATTGTAGACTTTCATTAAAATACATTCTGTAATTTTACCATGATAGAATAACAAATATCTGACCATCCACCCACACTCACAAACTTCTTTTTTTATAATATTACTAAGACTATTGCAGATAAGAAAGCGAGTGAATGAGCGACACTTTGATGTTCGAGTCGAAAGCGAGTTGTCTCAAAACACACGTGTTGGAACGCGTATTTTCTATTGAGTGACATAAATATTATTAAAAAACCTGTTATTTTGTATATTAATGTATAATATCGAATAACTTAAAACAATCAAAACATGCCAAATTATAAAAAAATCATATGAAAGATATTATTTTTAATGAAATTTGAATTTTAATAGCCATGGATATTCTGCGTTCCACCTCTAATTCAATTTTGTACTTTTAGAATCGGATTGAACATATTTCATAAAAAGAAATCAATGTCAGATGTCGATAAATAAGTAGTTAGTCGTATGTTGGTTAAATGGTCGGCATTTTTTAACAAGATTGCTGCAAACTATTGAACAGGTTATTTTATTGAAAAATGATAACGATTATTTTATCACGGTAATCCTATTACATGTATACATACATACACATACAACTACGAGAAAGTCACTTCCATTGGAATAAGAAAAAGTTTGATTATTTTTATCGAAGCGTTTGAAGATAGAGACGTTATGTGGATATTACTAATCTATTAAGAACTTAGAAACAAGTTAAACAAGCTTATCTGGAACGTCTAGTGTAGACTTTATAATCTATTTAAAGATATATATCCATTACATAATAGATTACATTTAAATTTAGCGTAATTTGTACAAATAATTTGTATATACTCTAGTTTTGAAAATCGTTATTATTAAAATAGCTTACTGTAGAAGATTATCAAAATAAATAATAATTAAGACGAAACAAATATTGACCCTTACCTATCATAAGGTTTGTTGCCCCACAGGTGGGCGAAGCTATTAACACAGTAAGCGACGTTGAGTGTGATAGTAAATCTGGTTACGAAGCTGATGACGAAACTGATGAGTAGGCTCTCATTCCAGTAGTACCACGGTATCCACACTGGGAGTATTATGTTCAGTAATCCGAATGAAGGAATGAAGATCCTGAAGCGAAGAAATGAAATAATTTAATTAAATAAAATTATTACAGTAATTGCTAATACGGGTCAGTTCCTTCCGCCACCCTCCACTGTTACGTGTTATCAACAATTATATATTTATATGTATATTAAATCTATACACGAGCTCTAATAATGGATTATAATAGAATTTGCTTTTTATAATAAGTACAGTGTTTTATGCCTTTCTTACCGTTTCGAGTATCTATTTCGCTACTAGTATCGTTTATTTCACCGGGTTATACAAATAAATAAATAATTCATGAAAGCCGACGTTTTAGATTTCGTTTTCTTCACAATTAATTCACATTAATTAATTTCCCTTATTTAGTACTATTACATAACTGGATACATTTCTTTATGTAATACACTTTTTATACTGTGTTTTATAACAATAATATATATAAAACGATATTTATCTTTATAACTAATCTGTTTTCGTACTATTTCCTACAGTATACACGGCGTGGTGTTTACATAGTATAGTACTTAGTATCTATCTAATAATACACGGTTTCTTAGCTTAACAGATTCACAGAAAATAAACATTTATTAATTACATACGGACATACTGAATCACTATCAATTTGATCAATTTCGCGATTATTAGTGTGTTGTTGCGATTCGTTTTCGCCTACATCATGCATGAGGCATCTCGATTGGGCCTTGAACGTAATCATGGTAACACTCGACTTTCATATTACTAATTGAAATTCAACGAATAAAATAATTTAGAATACGTGGAAAATGATACATAGGACTGAAGTCAAGTAATACTTTTTAAGAAAATTTACCTTATATATTCCTAATATTAATAAATTAAAGCCATTTTAAATATAATAACATGTTAATCTCTATTGAAGGCTGTAATAATGATAGAGAAAAGATATTCTAGGTTTTAAGATAAAACAAAAGGTTGTGTTTTATATACGAGATTAGATTTTTTCAAACTACGTTAAAATAATTTTTATTGTATTTATATAGCGATATTGCATTATATATTCGTAGCGGTTGTGCCTCATATAGAAACATCATCGTGATATCTAGATAGAATAAAAAAAATATGCTTACATCTTTTGTATTCTCACGACGGGATCAGCCATGAGATCCAGTGATGTCTTTTGTAGCGCTATCCGGCGGTTCTCTACCGCAGGGTGAGGGGTGAGGACTAGCCAACCCACGTGAGCGAACCAAAACCCTCGCCGTACATCGTGAGGATCAGCAACGGTCTCGGAGTATTTGTGATGCACACGGTGATCTAACGCCCATGTGTAGATGTCCCTCTAGAACAAAATGTCATCACATATTATATTGTCAACCATATGCAATTTTTTTATTTCAGCTGTTTTTATATGTGTATGTTTTATATGTGTTACCATCTCACAGGAGTAAAATGTGGAGGACTCAGAGGGCTTAGGGCTCTGTGCCATGTAATTTCACCCCCATATTTCATCATTTAAAAGAAAGTACAGCGCATGTTCCTTGTAAAGCAAGCTGCTTTGAGGCTGAAATATATGAGATAGAGGGGCGATTTTTACCGAGTTTACATGTAAAAAGTAAAGGTAAAGTAAAAATAATTTTAGTCTTATGTAAGAGTCTCGTTTTTATTTATGTATTTTGATGATTTCCTTTAAATTTGAAGGATTGTACTAAATGCAATTTTATTAAGTTTGATATAAAAATAGTTTAATTTGTACTGATATCTCTTATAAATATACACTATGGTCAATCTGTAGAGTATATTATTTTTTTTACAAGTTATGTTTATTCAAGTTATTTTTCTCCAACAAAATATCTTCCGTAAGTTCGTTTTCCTTCCGTCTCGGTGTCACGCTTATTTCTACGTACTCTATCAACTAGCGATATTGACATCTGTCAATATCTATCTAGATATAGCACGAAAAATCGAGTCGATCACAAAAGCAGCCGAATAAGAAACCGTTCATGCAAAAGTAGAAGGTATAGGGCGACCCTCTATACATACTAGATGGACCGATAACTTCAAAAATGTTACTGGGAATAGATTCACGCAAGTGGTCCCAAAAGTTGTACGGAAGGGGTCCATGGGCGAGATTTATGTTTAACACAGTTAAAGTTAAATAGATGTCAGCGAGGGTAAATTATAATAATGTTAAAATAATGTATGTAGAGAAGAAAATAATAAAAATGTTGTGAACCATAATAGTACTACACGTTTTAGTTTATTGCTTAAAGTAGTATTGAATTCTTTTATTAAAGAAATAATAATCATATACTATTACGACTATTATCTCCAATAGGTTAGTCGAAGGTATTGTCAACTGTCGATGTCGTAGTGATCGAAACACTTGACATAACCCTATCATGTTGAATTCGCTTTATTGGAAGCGAGCCTACTCTCGTCCCTCATAATTTGTTTGTTACTGAAGTTTTTACCATCGTATAGTCAGTTGGAATTATAAATTGATATACAAAGTTTATTGGTGTCAGAAGAATTCAAATTAACGGTCTAAAACTGATTGTAAAACACTAGGACTGATTACTATGGTTCAAATTTAATGATTATTGTCTAATATACATATAGTGTAACACTATATATAGAGTTTATGCTATCAATCTGTGTAAAAACTCACTTCCTTCATATGAAGGATATATATCCATACGTGTAGAAATTTTATAATTTAGTTTTGTTAGGTTTTTGTTACGTTTAATTTTTAGATTAAGATATTGGATATTTGGAATGAATTAAATTTTAACTAGAAAAAATGTCTTCAAGTAACATAAAAACAAAGAACTAAGAAGAAAACTCTATAGTAAACTCCATTTTAAGTACAAGTGCTTTTAATTTTTAATTATAATATAATTAAAGTCTTTTACAGTAAGTGCCATTATAAATTTAACTCATAAATCGGAAACTTATCACATTTAAGTTATAAGACCTAAATGAATGGCTAATTAACATCCACTGAATTAATTATTATAAATCCTAAACAGCAAAATGTATAATTAATGTGATCAAAAGCATTAATATGGTATCAAATTTCATACTTATCCAAAATATAATAATTATATTGTGGTAATTAACCTATAGTTAACTTTTAGGAGTATCGGCTTTCAACCTTCATCTAATTTAAATATTTGAGTAACTATCTCCAAAGTCCGAGGTGTAAATCTTATCAAGGCGGCACGCACTTCACTAAATTATAAAGTTTGTTTACAAAGCTTATCATCAAGTGTTTATCATAATATTAAAATATAATAAAATTATAAAGTAGGTCTGGGTTGTGTCTTTATGATTATAAAGATAAATATTTGTAATATTAATGCAGATATAATTTAAATTTTAATCTGGCTGAGCTTTAGACTGTGCTTATTAACGTACCTGTCTCGTTTGTCAGTTAATTCATATGATCAGCTGAAAAGATAAGCATGGATGTGGGAAGGTTGTATTTTCTACAGGTTTCTTGTATATTAGCTTCATTTATGACATCGCTAAGTTTTATATGTTTCAGGTTTTGAAGAGTTTACGACTATAAAGAACAAAATTCTGACCAAGATTCAGACAAAGAAACAAAGTGAAAATATGAAAAATAATGTTGAACTTTCATACTACTTGATCACGTGATCGTTAATTTTATATGTAGACTAGCTGACTCGTTGTTTTGCCATATAAATTAATATCTCTATTAAAAATAGGTGTTGGTGATAGAAGGGTGAAAATTTTTAATCACACACAATAAAAAAATTTATAAAAAATTTTTTGCCCAAAAAATTAAAAAAATAATGTTAGGGGTGGATAACCCTTATACCTTAGGAGTATTAAAAATAGATAGTATCCGTTTCTCAGACCTACTGAATATGCATGTAAAATTTCATAAAAATCTGTCAAGCCTTGGAGGAGTTTCGGAGAAGTATGGTAACTAACATTGTGACACGATAATTTTATATATAAGATTTTTAAAAATAATATTAATTTTCATTGACTTACGACTTACATACCTTTTAGTACTAAAACTCTTCCATCGTCTGAAATAAAATTATTTTACGAACTACTAGTAGAAAATAATTCGTACAATTTTATTACCAATTTTGTCATAGTATTGTTATATGGGTGCTACACCCATAACGGATGGAAAGTTTTATAGAACAGACTACATAAATGTAATAGAGAGATCCAAAGGTCATTGACATTTAATTTCATTTCTGAGTTTTGTGTGTATACTTTTTTGTTTTATGGACAATAAATATTTTCTAATACATTTTATTCTATACTTAAAAAGATTTACAACAAATTATTACAGACATTACTGTAGCATGATTTTTGTTAAAGGAAAATACATGTTATATATATTATGTTATATGAAGTTTCATAAATGGACCTACATTTATGGAACTTCATATAACATAATATATCCCAAAATATACCTGTATAAGATAACCTGAGGGAAAGGGATTGTTAGTCATGTGGACTGTTGAACCCATTGCTAGCTCCACGCGATTTCCCCATCATGAAACCATACTGGAAAATTTGTCATGATGGGCTAACTGATCTCACCACATGTTCATATTATCAGTCATATCAATACTGGTGCCCCGTCAGCGTAAACGAGTTAGGGAGGGGAACCCAGAAACATTCCATTATCATTAATTATAAAAAATGCTAAGCTGATCACTTTCAATTCATTTTAAATAATATTTATAATTGTTATCAATATTTAGAGTATTTTATAATAATTTCAATATTTCCTTTTACTAAACTTATGTTTACTGTTCACTAGATATAATAAAAGTGACCTCGTCAGCAAATGAAGCCAATTGTTCCAGTTAACCCTATGTCGTTTCTTGTGGTGACCTTTTGCAAGATACATTATATCATTTTGTATTGATACGAATTTATGTAAGAATAATATAATATTATTATCCTTCAAGACTATGAGATAGGATAGTCAGAGGCATCTGTTTTAGGCATTAGTATCTGTTATGTACAAAAGTGTAGTGACATGTCCCTCTTTTCCCTGAGAATATTTGATTTAATACAAAAAATATAATAAAACTAATAGATACATACTGCTGAAATAACAATTAACTTTTTATAGGAGCAGATAAAAATGAATGATAACAAAATTATACAGTACATCAACCCATGGCAACAGACAAATTCTTCCTTATTTAGTTACATTATTTATACGCCTGAATAAGTCAGACGTAAATCGATTGAAAACGACATTGAAATTGATCAAAGAGACTGGAATAATATTGTTATAAACTCAATTAATATTGTCATTAATGAATTTCCCATCTAAATTTTAAATAAAGTAGGTGTTATTGAATAAACACGGGGAAGGGAGTAGAAGTTTATAAAATAAACAATACGTCTACAAAGTAAGCAGATATAACAAAACTTGCGACAGTTTTGCAATCACGTCAACATAATAATAATTAAGCATTGACAAATGAAGACAGTGTAGGTAATGTTTTCCATCTCTGATTTCACTACGAATACAAAGTGACATCATGACGGTGTCATCCATACTTATATGTATGTACATGTGTACACAGCAACAGTACAATACCAGAGTATAGAACAGATCCTACGTAGGATGGCTAATGGTATACTATACATTACTTTGATGTAATTATAACACACAATTAGCCATGCTACGGACATATTATATTCCGCAACTTGTTTTATGAGTTGCTGTAAACCACAGTGCCGAATTTGTGAATTAGTAAATAAAGGTAGTCTATATTGTTGTCTAGACAATGCTTTATCTGTATACTACATTTTATTGAGATGGTGATTAACACACATGATTACAATGAATTATAACACAAGTAAAAGAGATTCCCAGCGGTATGAGCGTGTCAATTGCAAATATAAATATGACTTAAGTTATCTGATATTGCAGTTTTGTAGATATTATTACCGATGCCAGGATTAACCACTAGTCTACAAACAACAATGTTTTGCATAAAGATCGATTGCTTTCAATATGGCATAGGGTGTGGTGATATATAGGTGCTTAGTTGAGGTGGTCTGAGGTGGCAACTAGGCTGCGATGGCGTGATACTGCTTGTAAACACGCCAGGCAGCAATCAATAAACCTGAGACCAGTACATCAATATTGCAACCACTAGGTTTAATGTACTGGCGAATTATACATAGTAAAGATTACGTAAACACACATACCTATCTGTAGGTTTAAATATCTTAATATATATATCATAATTTGATGATTATTAAGTACCTTTTAGATGTGCTATCATTCTCATCATCATTCATCGTAGTAATTAATAGCAGTTCCAGTTTTTAGGCTACTATTAAAAGGATTATTTTTCTTTCCTTCATATCGTTTTCTCGATTAATACCACGAGTTTCGGGTCCAAGACAGATATGGTGGCAGGCAGAGGTCATGAACATTATGTTACGAAGAATCTGGCATATATTACGAAAATAATCTTACCTAGACCTGTTTATTGTGAAGTTTTATCGATATAGAAAAGGTCTTTAACGGCTAAATTTGATATGCATTTCTGTTAGTAAAGGTATATTTTATTCTAATACGAATCAAATCAAATGAGAGAAGAAACAACAATAAAATCTTAGAAACTGTAGCAATCATAGATCGTTACTACCCCAGTTCTCTTACAAACAGATTAATGCTGTATACATGATTTCTGTAGGCTAGGAGGAATACTTTGATGGTACTATAGGTAGAGCATAAATTTTAAATAATAATAATAATATTTTTTTTATTTCATCTCCACAAATTACATAATTTTAGTTTTATTATATAAACGCTATCAAATAAAAATCACAAATATAATTTGTGGGAAATCTAGCCCAAACTAAGCCATAGCCTGTAACTTAGACACCAGGTCTCCCCTTCATATAAATTAGTTATACATCTAGTTTTAAGTTTAAACGTGGAGTGCATTGAGCATGTGTGTGTCTGTGTATGTGTGTGTGTGTGTGTGTGTGTGTATGTGTGCGTATGTGCGTATGTGTGTATGTGTGTGAGTGAGTGATCTATGATAAATGAGTACAAAGTTAACTTTTATTTCCTACAGCTACTAATAGATGGCGTTCAAGGTATATTTAATAATTTATTGCGCGCAGACCACACTTAGACTTGAATTTATGATACGAAGATTTATAATACGTCACCTGTGCTCGGCTTTTTTGGTTAATTTAGTACTGATGTAAAGATTATGTTGTTGATAACTGAAGCAAAATCTAATTCGGTTAAATGTAACTTTGCCGAATTAATTACGTCATTATTGGCGTCATAATGGCGAAATCTAACAAATTAACATCGATCCAGTAATTGGATTTTAACAAATTGATTAACGTTCTTCTATATAACTGGCTATTACACCATCGGCTTCATTTCATTATACTAATCACTCTGCGAATTTCGATTATTTCTAGACTTAGAATATATATAGAAAATATTTTGAAAATAAAAGTATCGAGTAATATACGAGTAACATCCTGTTCTTGCTACGTATGAATATCCTTCAATTCTTGTCCCTGACGGGTCTAGGTAGCAAACTCTGAAAAAGGGCAAGCACAATGGATCTATGTAGGTCGCAGGGCTACAGGTGACACCAACTGCTGACAATAGCTTAAACAACCATTAAAGAAAAAAATAATGCTATGAGTTAGAAGATACGAAATGGGACATGATTACCAGCTTGCAAGGTCATTTATTAAAAAATTAAGGAAGAAGAAAGAAACCATGATGGATTGCAATATGGACCTTGTGGAGGTTGATTTGATATGGGGCGCTAGTCTAATAGGGACTATACACCTATATCAGGTTACTGTCTAATAAACATATATATTTTTTATAGGAGCTCAAGAAATGGTGCTATGCATTGCGCTGACAGGTTTCTCCTCCAGTATCAACCAATATTGTCCCGTTGCTGATATTTTTTTTCCGTATTTTCTCTATTCAGTAATACTATCAGTACGCCTTTATTTTTCAGATCTTAGGTATATTTTATAATACTTACACCTAAATGGATATAGTATATAATGAAACTTAATTCAATATCTGCAGCCATTTCACGCCCTAATGTACTCGGTGTCGCGCGACTATACCTACTTTCACCTTTATACTTCGTCTTCTATTTAGGTTAAACATTTTAGCGGCCGCTTGGCAGCCATACTGACATTTGACATTTTTCAATTTGGGTCCTCTTAACGTACATATTATATCTACTGACGACCTCGGTGGTCTAGCGGTCTAGCACACCGCTTTACGACCGATGCCGCGATGGTCGGTTCGATTCCTCGCACGGTACAAACATTTGTATTCATGAGTATGACTGTTTGTATCGATCTGGGTATTTTCTATGTATAATATGTATATATTTACAAAAAACAATCTATATGTATGTATCAGTTATCTAGTACCCTTTAGCTAGCTTAACTTGGGACTCGATGGCGCTGTTTTAATTGACCTCAGATGATTATGATTATTATTATTATTACTGTAATACCTACAGTAATCTTTAGGTGCGTTGAGAGGGTTACAAGTACAAAAAATTTGTCACGTATTTTGAAGAATGATTGTTTTCGATGACAGTAATTGTCCAAAATGAATAATAATTTGTGGATCACAAATATAAAAAAAAATTAAAGTCAATGCGTTAATTTGATTTAGATAACGTTCCACTCTTAATTATATAAAATGTCCTACTTGAAATTAAAGGTTTAGAGAGTACTGGAATTTCAAGTTCTATTCTTGAATATCAAGTATGTATTTATAGAGCTTTAGACAACAATTTAACCATTCCTTTCTGATTGTGTTTACACTGTAGAATTAGACATTGTCGTCTGTTTCACAGACGACAATGTCTTGCCTTTATAATGTTTATTAATTATCTGTAGGTTTAAATATCTCAATGTTATTAAAATGATTACAATAACAACTCATTAATAACTCAGTATTGAAAATATATATGTCTCATTCATAATTTGACAATTGACAAAGATATGGCAGGAGCTGAATTGTTATCTGAAACCTTTACTAGGTGATCGCCTTTTTCGTCTGAATCATTTATTTACGAGTATTAGCTGGAACTTCGTCTGCGTCACATTTTCCCCGTTCTTGCAACATTTTTCAGTACAGTTCCCTTCCTCATAGCATATCTTACTCCATAATTTAAGAGATATATATATATATATCTCTAAAAGAATTTTCAGGATCGGATTAGTGCTAGAGATTAACTTGAACTACTAGCACACAAACGATACCTCTGAACTAATATTATAAAGCTAAAGAGTTTGTTTATTTGTACGCGTTAATCTCAGGAACTACTGGTCCGAATTGAAAACATATTTTTGTGTTGGATAGTCCATTTGTCGAGTAAGGCTTCAGCTATATAACAGTACACTACGACCAATAGGAGCTGTAATGAAAAATATTGCAAAAGGTGGGGAAAGAAAATGTAGACGAGGTTGCGCGGGTCAGCTAGTATTAGTGTAAGATTCATTTCAGGAAGATTAGCGGTGTAATTTTATATATTACTAATTCTATAGCAAGTATTCTATGCCAATAAATAATTACTCGCCAATGGAGAGATTACGAATGTAGTTATATGTCTTTTCGAGTGTAAGTACTTAGGTATTTCTATATCAAATAACAACCCCATCTTAAGACGACTATGGTAGGAAATGTCAAATTCTATGTCGTTAATCGGCCTAAGGTTTTGTGCGTACAGCCCACAGGAGGATGATATTAGCGTAAAATTGCGATGTCAGCGATATAGCTTAGTATTCGATTTTACTATGATTTATTATATTTTCTTTGTTTCTACAGATTACATTACGGATTATATTAAGCATTACTTCCGTCATAAAAATTAAAAGCTTAATTTTTGATGACGGATAATTCGTATGATACTCAATTAAAAGTTGAATATCATATGAATGTTTAATATTAATAATGCTTAATAGTGCGACTGACTGTAAAAGTAATCAATTTTCACTTGTACTTACATTAAGTAAATTGTTTTCCAAGTAGATAAAACAATATTTTTAATACGATATGTAATAAAGCGTATGATATGTATTCAAACTTCGTCACCTCACTTATATATGGATAGAGACATAAAAATGATTACTAATTGGCTTATCACCTGGCCAGTGATGGTGAACAGCACTGCTAGTAATATCCTGAGCGGTGTCCTCGCTCTATATGCCCGATGTGACCACAGCCTGTGTACTCCTGCTGTGATACCAAAGCCCGACGTGTAGATCGTCGCCAGAGCTGATAAAAAAAAACATTTTTATTTTATTATTTTTGTTTGTCAAGGTCAAGGTTGTAAAAGAAACTGATTATATTAAATTATGTCACTACGACAACATTTAATTATCTGTGATAATTGAGTGTATATAAAACAAAGCAAATACAAATACAGATTACATCATGAAAAATATAATACTTAATATGTAGCTGTACAATATAGTTATATATTTTTTATGATAATCATTATGTATTAGAGAACAAATTGAATAGAAACAAACAGTATTTAGATTTACATAGTAAAACAATTACTTGTATTTCGTATATATATATGTAGATATAATAATATATATTACATACTTTATATGTGTATAATGAACCTGACATCATTACAAAAAAAACCTTTCAAAAGTGATTAATAAAGAGTTGATTAATATATACATCATACGTAACTCTAAAAAATGGTTCTAACAAAAATTAATACACTTAGAAAATTCTGCTTCTCTTGTCCGTTCAAATATATCTTATCTATTTTACAATAAAAATAAAAAAGATATTTAAAGCAAATTTTTTATTTTTTTAATTAATAAGACCTCAATCAATGTAGTGATTAGTTCTGCAACTAGGTACACACATATTATTCACGTTGAAAAAGATTTAAACAGAGAATGTGATACTTTCGTTTCATAAACTACTCAATATTTAATCAGTCTTAAAAAAAAGTTAATATAAATAACGTGATACAGCTCAAAGTGCTAAGCATAAATCAAAATATCTGAACAAATATAAAAAAACAAACTTACACTAAAAATAACGTTCACAAAATTTACAGTAACAACCACAGATCGTAATTATTTAAACTAACGTATACAGTTCCAGTATATAGTACAAGACAGCCCATCGAAATAGCTGCCTTAAAAAAAAGAAAGAAATATACTAAACCATGTGAGTTTGTTGGTTTTACTATTCCCATTTAGGTAAATGGGAATAGTATCATCATAGTATCATTATTTTAATCTTTCTGTCATAAAAATAAAATGTAAAACAATGGTGATATGTAAATATTGACATGCCTGAGATATGTAGATGATGAACATTTATTTCTTTTGGATAGATGAAAAGGTGCGAGCGTCTCGTATTTATGTAACGCAGTATTATAATAAAGTGTATATTTGAATGACATTGTCACAAGTATGTACGAGAATGATAGTACATTCCATTCACATGATTAGGAATAAATGAAGTTCTTGTACTAATTGAATTAAAACGAATTTACATATAAGTATATATACATAATAATATATATATATACATTTTCAATTTTACTTTCCACTCATTCGGAATGCAGACTGACAAGAAGAAAAACAAGAAACTTGCTTACTCTTTTGAATATATGTTGTTCTCTGTAAATATATATTAACAAGGATTAGGGATGTGATAATCAACATAGATAATATTGTCAGTGTTATGAATTTTAAGTAAGATTTTTTCTACAAAATCTTTATTATCCTTTATAAACTTTCAATTTTATAACAATCACAATTTTGATATAAAGAGAAGAAGATATAGCGATAGTTAAGAAGTATGGAATAAAAACAAGAGTTTATCAAAATGTTTGTTTATTTATTTTGTTTTAATATATTGAAAATTATTGTTGCACAATATACAGAAAATAATATCTGAAAAACAAAGTAAATTTTGCACATATATAATATCTGTCTGTACAAGCAAAAATATAGGATAACACTATTTTTGAGGGACTTATTAACGTATTAGAACTCAAAACAATAATAGTTCAAGTATTTTGTTTGTCTGTGCCTTTATCTGCGTTAATTTCAGAAAGAACTTGATGAATATGAGGGCGGGTTGTATTACTACCAGAATACTGGTAAGCGTCGCATCGCAATATTTCCTATAATCGGTTTACAAACAAAAAAATATGGGTATTAAGTCGCGCCTCAGCCAGTAATATAATATATATACCAGTAGACCTATCTTCAATTTGTAGTTTAAATATTTTCGGGAAACGATAATACAGAATAATGAATTTTTAAAGCACTTTATAAAATAAACAACAATTTATCCCTTTCGATGAAACAAGTTGATCCCATTTGTTTTAGCAATTTTATTTTCCACTGTAATAATGAAATATTTTTTCGATGCAGGATTTGTACCAATACTTCAACATAATCCAAACAAATCTGTAGAATACTGAAGCGTTTGATGTTTCAGTCAGACTACATACTCGAACATATTTGTAAATATAGTAGTAGAAGATTTCATAAATAAATTATAGTAACAAGATTTTATACGGCGTTGTAAACATGACCTTCAGGTTTATGACTATCGGATCAGTATCTTCTGAAGACCATCTGCCAGCCAGTTGTTCATCTAGACAAAACGATCACAAGCTCGAGGGGATCGCATTATTTTAAAACAAAGATTATGTAAAAAAGGTTCATATATTATCTTAGTAGTTATATTGGCACCATTATTAAATTTTATAACATAATTATTTGCACTAGATGCGGGCAAGTACGTGCGAGCAAAATGAAAAATATACAACTTAAGTTATAATAACAGAGTTTTCTAAAAATCTTGTTAGTCAATTGTAGATGAAATAAAATGATATAATATATGATATATTTTTGAATTTTATCAATAAAAGTTTTTGATGTCTATATTTTAGTTAGTGTAAATGGGCCTTGAACCTTTTTATAATTTCAGATTTAAGAATATTGTTGCAGCTCTTAGATATTACACATCACATAATTATTTTAATATCTTTCTGAATCAGTTAGGACTCTATAGGTACTGACAAAGTTAAATTGAATACTATCTACATTATGGATTCTCATTCTATAATTCATATTAATTTTTGTTATAAAATAAGCAACTTATATTACTCATATTACAGAAAGCAAAATCCTAATAACAATATACCTACTCACAGATGGCCTAACATTTTTTTATCCAAATTTATTCTATGGAGATAGCAGATATTAGCTTTTATTTTATAGGTATTTGATGTTTAATTTTAAATATGTAAATTGACTATAGGTAATATCTACACATCTCACGAAGCTCCCAACAGTAATTTAAATTGATGAATACAGTCGTTTCTCGTAATAGAGTCCAATGAGTCGGCAACCATCGGAATAAAATTGCGTCTTTGTAATTTCAAATGATTAGAAATGTTTGTAATAATTTTAACAATATGAAATAGGTACATTTCGTATTTCCTTTAATCGAATGATTATAAAAATGATGTAATATAACATCATTTTTATAATCACCTGTACGATACAATACGAAAAGAATGTTTTCAGAATATATAAAACATGTGTATTTTAATCTAAGGCCCTGCCAAACGATTTGTTGTCACTTACTACCTAATATTGCTATATGTGATATGAAAAGATAATATAGTAATTCACAGATTCAGTAAATTTTCTTCCTCATAAGTCAACAGAAATAAATTATTATACGAGAAAGTCGGACGTAAGACTACATAATGCTTTTACCCCTTTTCTTTTTTAGGACGTTCTAATATGGTTACAAATAGTTGTCTTAATAAATTTATAGCGGACAATAAGGGTACGGGTACGAGTGAGTTCGGAAAATGCATGAAAATATCCTTAAAGCTTCAAAATAAATTTATAAGACTTTGATATAGCTATTTAGAGACGGTTGAAAAGTTAGTAAATCAAAATGGTAATCATTGAAGCTGTATGAAAGTCGAAGTAATTTCTTTTGGCTGATAATAAATTTAGGTAGCTTGCATAGAACGCCAAATTCAATGGAATTACATAGATTTTAAAAGGTTTGTTTCTACTGATTAAATATAGCAATTTATCAATCGTAGTATCTATGATAACAATTATTAATTTTAAAGTGACTGAAAAGTGTTTCTTAGTATAAATAAATGTAAAATATAGTACTTACCAAATAACACAGTGTAAAGTTTCACCTCATTTGTCACTATAAGGAATAGTCCATATATTGAAACCAAATGTAGCGATATTTGTACTGTAAGATCTGGCCATTTAATTTGTGGCCTAAATTCCATAGCTTCGTATTTGCTTATGTCGAAGTCTGTTTCATTGTTTATTTTGTCACTAACATTGTCTCGCAACACTGAATTGTTATTATCATAGTTGTTTACACAATTATCACTTTTGTAATCACTAGATAGAAGTCTCATTTTTATTTGTGCATGTGTCGGGTCGTCGCACGCGTCCACGTTTTGTTGTGTTGGAGCCATTCTGAATAGTAAATAGAATATTATGTTAGAGTTTAAAACATACATAAATGAACCGTATCGTTTTCCAGTGTTATCTCCACTAAGATAATTTGAGTTTTCAGTAACGAATTTATTTGTATTTCTAATCCCGAACAGTGATTACTTTCGTAAAAAGTATTAGAAGAAATTGATGATCCAAGACGTTAGAATGTCTACTCTTATAATCGAGTCAAATAATTATGCATAACTTGACTTGAATGCACAATTCAAGTAAACTTTAATTTATCTCAATAAAATTAATTTCCATTTTACATTTGACCGATCCAATATTCAATTTAATAACAGTTGTAATTGATTAATTGTGAAATAATATAAAGGTATAGTATAGTAATATACAAAGGTATAGTAGTATTATAGGTCAAATTCTTTTTCTATTATTTAAAATTATTTTATAAGTCTCACTTGTCAATATCGATCTTTTATTCCAATACTCTCATGAAACAATTTTTAATTGATTACGTTTCGCACAGACAATCGCAGTGATAATTAGGTCATAACTTTTTAAATTGGGCAATAAAATATTTAATGGAGGCCTGATTATAATTTGATTATATTTGAAATCACCTATGTTAAAATTAATAAACATAAAATATATAAGATTTGAGCCGACTATGTTGAACAGTACGGCTAGACTATAAACAGGGCACTAAGTATTTTCCATAAGTGGTATCGCCACGAGTTTGTTTGTTTGTTTGTTTGGTTTAGTCATTGTATGCAGGTGTTAATAATCCAAGTAATCTTAACTGAATCATTAGGTACATGATTTGGTTTGGTTACAAATGGTTATCTAATGGGAAGGTGGCGTTAGTCAATAGACGAACTATATACATAAGTTATCATATCGTTATGTCTGTCAATATATTAGAGATATCCAAAGTGTTGTTCATGTGTGTAGGCAACGTGTGACGACGAATATTTGCACCGTGCGAGGAATCGAACCGGTGTGCTAAACCGCTAAACTACCTAGGCCGTCACATTATGTATATGACACATTGGTGGCAACTTATTTCTAAATGATGAAATAATTTTTCTTTTATATAGGTGCAGTGGTTTAAAGTATTCGGACATATTTTAAAACTATGATGTATCTACTGAATGACTCCTGATGGTAAGTGGTAACCGTCACCTATATAAAAGAATAAGTGTTCATGGTGTAAAAGTTAGGTATATATTTCCAAACTTAACACTACTATATAGTCGAGAAATACTTTCACGAGTACATGATGGAAAAACAAGATATCATATTTCGCGTCTGCAAATGTGCGGAATTCGTTTCGAGTATCGACATAGGTATTGGAATTAAAGACTACATATTGTTTTTTTACTGTTATCGTAAATCCATACTAAATTATAAATACTATAGTGTTTGTGCGTGAATCTATCTATTTATTGCCTTGTTATTACTAAACGATTAAAAGAATATTAAATTCCCGAGAGGCATGAGGTAGAAATAGTGAACAGTCGATGATGTAGTGAACGCAATACTTGACATGCCCACGTTTCGCTCGTTATATTTGAATACAACGGAGCAAGAGGTTAGCCTATCTAATTTATATAATGGGCTATTTACGCATAAGGTACTAATTCTTAACATACGTTGTTTTTTGTTGAAAGATGGAAATGTTAAATGTACGTTTAAAAATGTCAAGTATGTTAAAAATGTCAGTAATAACTAAATAGATCTTACTTACGCGTAAGTTTATGAGTATAAACGAATGGATGTTTGTTACTCTTTCACGCAAAAACTACTGAACGGATTTTGATGACATTTTACAGTAATATAGCTTACAGATCAGAATGTAAATAAGGCTATAAATTTCATGCGAATAAAACCGCGCGCAAAGCTAATATTATAACAATAATAAAGAAATCATTCTGATATATCCATCTGTTTCTATTTTATGACAAATCTATGATTTATGTTAGTCATGTATTACAGGTATTTCCTATATAGTTAATCTTATCAGAACTATTTTTCCAACTTATCATCTGTACAACAAGCAGGCCTATTTATTACATCATATTCATACGGTTTCATTTGAAATACTCATATGATTCAGCAGAACGATCCTTATATCTATACTAATATTATAAAGCTGAAGAGTTTGTTTGTTTGAACGTGCTAATCTCTTAAAATACTAATAACAATAGTAGCATTAAATTAATAACCTTTCTTCCATAATATATACGATAATTTTATTTAATTATTTGACACCGGTACGAGAAAGTTGTCATGCTGTCCAGTATAGGCCTCTCCTAGAGCTCGCCATAGAATGCGACTCTGCGCTTGTCTTTTCCAGGTATGTCCCACTATTTTTTTAATATCATCCTCCTATCTACGACGCTATCTCCCTTTCCTTCTTTTATATTGTCTCATGCAACAATCTTTAGCTGTACATCCGTATTCCTCCTATTTATATGTTCTGCCCACCTCCATTTTATTTTTTTAGTACTACAGTAAAAAATATGTGTGACTCTAGTTTTCTTAAAATAGTAATGAAGTTTTAAATATTCTTTTTAAATTTAACAACTCAATATTAGAAGATGTTTATAGGCATTTAATATCATGCTATAACTTTTAAGTTAGAGAGTAAAATAAATATTCAGGAGCAGTGCTAAGCGCAAGAAATATTAGCTCGGGACAGACAATGTAATGCTATCGAAGACATGGGATTCTTTTAAATTATACTGTGTACGGTAAAACATAGTAGAAACAGATTAGACCAATATTGATAATGTGAAAGCGTGTCTTTCGGTCTGTCTGTTTGTTACGATAAAATAGATGTTAGTACAACTTAACATGAAGATAGTTTGTACACGAGTAGTAATATATCAAAATATTGTTTAAAAAAAGAAGTCGCGTACTTGTTCGATTGATTCAACAGCTTACTAGAACATCTATTTATTTTCTGGTGAAGTCAGACGTAATATTTTAAGTATGTAGTAGGTATATGCTCGGTATAATCAGGTAAGGTACGCGGAGGAAAGAAATACCGATACAAACACGATTGGTATGTCAATATGTTTCATAAATATAAGAAATAACTAGAACATTGTATTATTTATTTATCAATTCGCCTATCTACTTAATTTCATTTTTAGGACAAAATAGACGAACGGTAAAAAAACACATTCACTATCAATATATTTTTTTTAATAATTGGTAGCTTATGCGATATATGTATATTAATGTATAATCTATATATATGTTATATTTCATTAAAATCCGTTGGGCTGTTATGTCCTGGCTGGCAGGCTGTATGTATGTGTAAAATGTAATAAATACATGCGTTTTTCCTATTAAGTTGTAGTAGGCGTTTGTTAATCATTGATTTTTATTGGAATTGTTACTTTTGATTGTTTATAATAAGTGGTTTGTGTCCATTTTTGTTAATAACGCAGCATTATTGCTACAAATAATGTCTTACAGACAATTCTGAAAAAAAAATGTTTTTTGGTCACAGCTACATGAAATTGACATAAATAAATACTAAAATTACCTAAATGAAGCAGTATACATTTCTGGGAGTAGGTATAAAAAATCTAGAGGTGACCATTGTTTTGAATTTACCAACAATAATTGTTCTATACAATTTCGTCTGCTCGGGAACAATTTTACACAGTTGGCAATACATAAGACACTAACAACAGCCTCTGACCTTGCATATCTACGTCACTCTCGTACTCCATACTAGTGAGAAAATGAATACGTGACGCCGACTACATGAATTTGAAATTAAACAGTGACTTTGTTTTATTTTCCACAGATTAAGAAATTATTATAATCTTTAATAGCTTTTGCACGGAAATTGTTGTACTTATAAAAATTTAAATAACTAGTAATACTTACGTCAATCGTGTATTTTTCGAACGTACCGCCAATTATAGTTTAGATTTGTTTTATTTATTTTGTAAACAAAATATATCAAACTGAATTGGAATGTTCGTGTGAATTGAGTGAGATTTTTAATAATATACCTAATATAAATTAGTTATTTCCAGTCTAAGATTCAAGGCCTTTTTAGAGTTGGTACCGCTCTAGTGAAAAATTTTTATTAGGGCGGTATCACCATTACAACGGATTTTTGTTAATTCACACAGCGCCATAATCCTAAGCTAATCAGAGCTTGTGTTATGGGTCTTAGATAACCGATACAAATACATTGCCACATTTTTTGTAAATACATACTTATATATAGAAACTTATTATTCACCCCGAGTGATACAAACAATCATACAAAAATGTATATATCCTGCGATCGAAAGTTTATTTTATTATTACCGTTAATTTGAATCAATATAACAATCTTACAAACACAAGCTTGCAGAGTATTAAACATTAATTGGTTTGTTCAAAATGAATTAATAGTAAATGGTTTCGTCTAATATATCATGTTAAAGATAGTTTAATTTAAAAAAATATTTTGTTTTATGTGACGAAAGCCTGACTGAATAAACACATGTGCGTTACGTTGTTTAAAAATAGAACTAAAATATTTCAAGTAAAATTCATTCATCATTTCCTACATGAGCAGTTAATAGTAAGTCGATACGTATGTTTTGTCACAGTTTTAGATTAAATATCTAGAATTTCAGAAGCTAACACGCACTATTTATAATTTTATCTATTCAAGTCAAGTTCTAAAGGTTTCGGTGATAATAATTTAAAAATAATATTGTTTATGTTTCCGCGGTTTATCCTCTATAAAAAAATTGTGAATCATTTATTACTAGTGTACTATTATTTAGTTATACCACAGATAACATAATATTACATACTAATACAGGAAAACGTAATGTAGCTACAATTTATTACTTTTGACGTGTTTAATTGAATTATAGGTAAATAGAAGGCTAAAGCAAAATATACAATACGCTTCTTACTTACGTACTCTAGATAGACAGATGATTAGTCATTAAGCTAAAGATTCTAAATAACTGTTTTTAGCAATGGTTAGGGCCGCTGACATATTGACAGCATAGGTGAACTATAAAATAATAAGAATAAAATACATAATAAAAATTGCAACTGTTGTGTTTCTTCGCAATTCTTCTCAATTGAAATAGATTGGTAGGAATAATGGAATCATAGAACTGACTTTTTTAATCTATGGTACGGCACTGTGCCCAAAAATTTTAATGGGATCAGTAAAAAACATGTCCTAAATTTTTATTGTGATTTTGACCTACTTCTTTTTAGATTTTTTAACATATGATCCTAGAAAATTGTACTGTTTTAATAAATTAATGAATAAAGAGCTAGTTGGAATAGGTATTTGCTGAACAATATCACAGGTTATGGCGTAGACATATTTTTCTATATTATTTTATTGCAAAAACTATTAATACTTAGCAAGGCAAAGAGAGAATCGAGAAGATTTTCTGTTAGTATGAAGACTGTCGCGAGAAGCTGCTTATAAGAAATGGATCCTATTCTATTCCATTATAATTAATGCTAGTTTACAACTGGGTCTTGAAATATTTCTACTATAAAAAGAACTTATTATCGAGATTTTCCTAAAAGTCGATGGAGTGCTGGTCAGTAATTTGTTGAAAATAGAAAATATAAATTAACGTTGTTTAATTACTGCTTTCAAGGTCATTAGGTAACATTTAACAAACTATTG